GTAATACTGGAGTCTGCTGTATCATCGACTCTTGGCTGTTATTCCAGCCGACGTGCTCCCTATTCCCACGTGAGTCTGGAAATGGGCTGCTGTTGCCTCGTGTCCGTCAGTCGTGTTGCTGCCGTTTGCTCTGTGCGGCGGTGGGTTTGGGCCAGGCTCCTGCGAGGCAGGTATGGCTCTGAACAGGGGACCTGCTGGCAGGATTGTGGCATTGCTGTGTCCCCCGAAGTGGTGCCTCGCGCCTGCGGAGCGGGCAGGAGGGCAGAGCTCGGGTGTTCTGGTACGTAACCCCTCGGGAGCATCGCTGCCGCTCTGTGCAGAGCGCTGGCTTGGGTGCGGTGAAACACGGGCATGTGCTGCCTCAGATACAGGAGGTGTAATTAGGAAATGTAGGTCATCAAATTCAATTAGCCCAGTGCAGTGCAGCTGGGAAGAGTTCTTACTAGATTTACTCCTCCTTCAGAGTAGCTCTTATTAAATAATACCTTAAGTGAAGCCATAATTGCAAAGATGCATTTAAAAACCTGCAAGAGAGATTTTTTTCCCTTCCCAAAGTATCTGTTTGCAAGACAAAGTAGTTGGATAGCGGAGGAGCCGTGTCTCCGGCGCAGTGCCCGATCAGTGCGGTTGGTGGGTGAGCGGAGGGGAGACGGCTCAGTTGGCCAAGGCACATCTTGCTCAAGGAGCTAAAATTGGGTTAGGAGTCTCACATCTAAAGTATCCTTCTACTGGAAGAGCTTTAATTAAGTAGAATCTTTGAACAGTTACTTCTTACTTAGCTGTTATTTTGCTTTTCTTCATTTCCCCCCTCTGTCCCCACGCATTACGAGTAAGCGTGTTGGTTTCCTTTTGTTTAAATCCATCTGTATTTTATGCAGATACGGTGGAAGATGTTTGTTATACGGTAGCAAAATGTAGTAGTAACCGAGTTGCAGTCATGTCAAGGAAATTTATTTCTCTTGAAAATGTAACACCGCCGCCCCCAATTTCACCGCACTTTTTAGCTGGAGACAATATTTAGCTCTGAAAGAATATGGTTTCGGGATACGTAGAAGTGTGTAGCAGCTTGTTTGGCAGGGAAAGGAGCAAAGCAATGAACCACGTTGCAACTGTCAGTCCTCTTAAAGGGCTTTCCTTACAGGCATGCTGGCATTTGCATTTCTGCATTTATTGTATAAAACATCAAGGGACATCTTGGGTGGGAGGCATTCTGGCTTTGGTGGGTGTCATCCTCTGCCGCCTACCTACAGCTCAGGTCCTGTGTTCAGGTTTGATTCCTAATTCCCACCCGCAGCTGCGTGTTCTCCTGGCAGATGTGTGTGGAGTTACGTTGATGGCGCTTGCAGGTGGTCAAAGCAGCAGTGCCCTCTGAGATTTGAAATTATTATGACTTGAACTTAATTGCACCTAAGCAATTTTGGTGTTTTTTTAAAAAAAAACAAACTAGTATTCTAATTGTCTAATCTAAGTTTTGGTTTTAAACTTGATCAGTACTCATCTATCGTTGAGTATTGAAAGGATGCGTGTTGCTGTACTGCCTCTTTACCAAGTGTTTTAAATTCTCTATCCTTGTGCCTATATTGCAGAAATTGGTTGAGGGGTGTGTGTGTAAATGTCAGTACACTGAATCTCATGTAGACTTCAAGGTAATTAAATGCGGGGAGGCCTTAAAGGGGTTCCCTTGGCTTGTTCTTCGTTACTATTTGTTGAGTAGATCAGAGCTTCGCAGATCAGTCTGGAGAAGAGGAGGCTGAGGGGAGACCTGATCGCCCTCTACAACTGCCTGAAAGGATGCTGTAGGGAGGTGGGGGTCGGCCTCTTCTCCCTGGTAACAGATAATAGGACGAGGGGGAATGGTTTGAAGCTGCGCCAGGGCAGGTTTAGGTTAGATATTAGGAAAAACTTCTTCACTGAAAGGGTTGTCAGGCTGTGGAATGGGCTGCCCAGGGAGGAGGTGGAGTCCCTATCCTTGGAGGTATTTAAAAGAAGGATAGATGAGGTGCTTAGGGACATGGTTTAGTGGTGGGATGGCAGGGGTAGGTTAAAGGTTGGACTCGATGATCTTAAAGGTCTTTTCCAACCATGCGATTCTATGATTCTATGATCAGAGTTTGTACATGTGCCATTTTCTTCTGGGTGAAACATCACTGCATGAAAGGCTGGTGGCCATTTCCTTTCCCCAAGCATTTAGATGTCTGTCATAAACAAAAAATACACCATTTTTCAGGACTTCCCATCATGTATCACCTATATCTGAAGTTGGTGCTCACACCCCACCCGCAGGGCAGACGGGTGCCTTTTCACAGGTTCTGCATCCGGGTCGTTGTCCCCTCTTGGGCAATAGGACTCAGTGCTGTCACGTAGGAGGTTTAATCACCATAAACTTCCTGCTCTATATCTGGTCTTCTCATTTTTGTTGAGCAACGGTGTCCCAAGTCCCCCGAGACATCAGGGAGGGTGGGAGCTGTGTTTTGTTGGTACCGTGTTAACGTAATGCACGTTACAGGGAAGGTAGCCTGCCTGCAGTCGCTGCTGTTCCTCAATGAAATATTGCCCGTGAGTTCTATGGCTTAAAATTGCAAAAGGCAAGAGGAGAGCTCGTACTGCAATCCTCCTGTCACTAGAGGCACAGGAGGGCGAGGGGTGTCCCTCTCGGCGTCTGCGGGGTGTGCAGCCAGTGTCGGGGGGGTTAGAGGCTCTCCCCTGCCCAGCACTGCAGGCAGGCGCCTGGGCGCTTGCTGAGCCTGCAAGGAAAGGCAGGGCACTGCACGTACAAAAGTTGCACTCTCTTAAAAATTTAAAAATGTGTGGTTATAGAGAGACTGCACCAACTGCTGCGTCTTTCCTGTGCTTGCTTCTTGTTTCCTCCTTACGACTGTAAACCTCAAATGAGAAGTCAGTGCAGAAGCAGGACTTGCAAAGCTGGCTCTTTCTTCACCGTTGTCAGTTTAAGTTCAAGGAACAGTAGCCAGAGACGGGTAATTCCTTGAAGCTTAAGAATCTATTAAAACTTGTCAGTATAGTATTAGAGTACCACGGGTTATTTCCAGGTTGAAATGTCCCACCTAGCACTGAGATGGCCAATTTGTTCAACAGATGCCTCCCACTTTGCTTATTTTTATATTGAGATGTATTTTTGACTACTTAAAACTGTTGGTGTGTCTTCAAGGATTTAATCCCGTTTCATGTATACCAGCAAACTTCTGTAATCCTGCTGGGATGATGCTTTTCTTACGCGGCGGTGGAAACCTTACTGGAACTAGTTGGGAGATGGAAAATGGTCAGAATTTACGTTTTCTGCCATTATTGTTGTTACATATGTCTAGACACTTCAGGGCACTCTTGCAGGATTTGTTAGCTTAGCTAAAATAAGACAGACAAGTCAACTTCTCTGAAAGCATGAATGAAACCTATTATTAGAGGGGAAAAAATGCTGGGTTAGTATAACCTCTGCCCATGGGGCCCTTGTTATAAAATAACACAGGAGCAACCGGATGCTCCTCAGTGAAAGGCCAGTTATTGAGTGAATTCGATGTGAAGAAAAATACTCTCTTTGCCTGTGAGTGATGGTCACTGGTCTTTGAGCTGGGCTGGCTCCAGGGGGGCACTGGGCAAGTGGCTGTGGGAGCAATTGCTTCTCCTTGCCCATGCTCAGCATGGGGCAATGGGGACCTGGAGGCAACCACTGAGTCTTGTCTGTGGCTTCCCACCAGACGGAGTAGATGGGGCCAGATCTTCCCAGTGATGGTCCTCGGCCACTTGTGCAGCTGAAATCTGCAGGCTGGCTCCCACACACCTCGGAGAAGAGATGGGAAGAGTGAAGAGCTGGGTGATGATGACAGCTCCTGGGGTCCTGTTGGGACAGAGCTGGGTGGCAGCTGCTTTTCTACAGTATCGGGTTAGTTAATATAAAATTAAAGCTTCTAAATCCCCTTCCGAGAAGGAGATTGACATGCTTTTCACTGTTTGAAATTACAAAATTTGGAGTCCTCTTGGCACAATGACATGTGCACGCACCAAGATCAAAAGGCAACAGCAGGCATGCCAGCAGCTTGACAATTAACTGTGTGGAATCTAAACAAAATCCATTTTAATGCAAAATCAACGCTCTTGAAGGGTTTCTCAAAGTTTTTTATATTTATTTGGGTTGATAAAACTAAGATTTGCTGGAGGGAGGAGGAAACGAGTTGCTGAACCACAAACTCAACTGAAAATTCAGACCAGCCCAAGCTTGTCTTGGGCGCTAGGGAAGCCAGGAGGTGCTCGTACCATTTACCACTACGTTCACATTGTGAGCACCCTGTTCAAGAAGTTACAAATCCCAAATATCCCAGTTGAGGTACAGCTATTTTGCACCGCTTTAGTGTAGATTTTCCTTTGAAAGAGAGTTCCCTACCTTAAAATAAGCGGAGTATTATCCTTGCCAAAGATCTTTCAGCCTCTTTAGAATGGGGCATTTAGATTACTGGGGACAAAGTGAGTATCTTGAATGCTCCGTGTCAAGGCACGAACAAACGGCGCAGAAACAGTAGTACAGTACAGAGTGAAACCTGACAACTCTGTGTTAAAGGAAAGGAATGCTACTGTATGGTTCGATTGTGATCAACTTATCTTCAAGTGGGTTTATTAGCAATTTAATGGAATATTGGGTTATTCAAGAGCCATAATAGCCCCGGTTGAAATGTCCCTTCTGCACGGTTTTCCCATACCCTTTGGAATGAGCAGAATGTGACAGTCGAGCTTTCAACAGGCTTCATGAATTTTAAATACTTTTCAGCTGTGAAATGGGGCACATGGCGTGTGGTCAAGGGTGGACAAGGAGCTGGCAGTCGCTGGGGGTATTATGGGATATTGAGTGTCTGGGAGATAATGAATGTGTGGCTTATCCAGGTGCATTCTTGGCCCGCTGTGCATGTCCAGGCAGAATGGAATATATTTCTGTCCAACACTTGACAATTGATCATTTTGTAAATGTAAGCAGAAAGTATTTAGAACGTTACTTTCTCAGCATGCCTGTGTACGACTTAAATTTCATGTCATCTTCGTTATCCAGCAAAATCTTCACTGTGTTTCTGTAACAATGCATTCACGCCGCTTAAACTTTTCCACTAACCTGATTTTATGCTTAGTGGATCTTAGCGAGCCTTTTCTTCTAGCGACTTTAAATCTCCCATCTTTTTAAGCATCCTTTGTTTTAATTTTTTTTTTTTTGCTGTGAAGTTTTTAATACCTGATTGAAATTATTTCCACTTGCTGTGGGTTGAAATTTCAGCTCAACTTTTTGTAACAAGTGAGCAGATTGCTGGCTCCTGTTCTGTGGGAAATGGTGTCCCTGCATTTTAAATGCTAAGGGGTGGAAGAGAGGAAGGGGAAACCCCGGCGTGGTTTACTGCTGCTTGAGCCATGTAGAGTTGTTCTCACGTGCTTTGGTTCTGCTTAGCTATCGAAACACAACTTACTCCAAGGACATCCAGATTAATTACATTTTTAAGGGCGTGTACCTGGAAGAGGAGGTTGCCGCTTGACCTCCCGGGAGCTGCCAGGCTGGAGCGTCCCTCCTGCATGGCCGAGAAGCTTTTCTGGGACAAGAAGCCCGGAGCCCATCTGCCATTTTCTCCTCCTCTTCCTCCTCCTCCATGTGCCAGTCCCTCTCTGCTGCCCCATGGTCCACCTCTTCCCATGTTTCCCCTTCCTTGTTAATCACTAGCAGTGCTGTACTCACCCCGACCTGCGGTCGCTCTCTAGGGGCAATGGACATTTGGCACCGGGTACATCAGCTCTAGGCACAGAGTCTGTGACTGTTCCAGTAGCAGGCCAGTAAGTGGCTTTGGATCCGTAATTAGCTGTCTGTGGGCGATAACGAATGGGGTAGTTATCCATGTGGCCTGTTCTGAACTCCATGCTTTATGAACTATCCAAACTCTGCCAAAAGCTGCTCCTGCTTGGTGCAAGCTTTGGGTAAGAGTGAAACTGCCTCTGAGCTGCAACCTGAAAGCGTTGGCATGGGAGTTGTCTACCTTCTGCTTGAGGACATGGCTTGGGAGTACCTCGGTGTTCCTTCTTGGCCCCCCCCATGGCCTTGTTTGATGAGAAGTGGTTGAGGATGAGCCGTGCTGCATGCATGCTGGACGGCAGATAGGGCTGAGCAGGGTGGAAGGAGCACGGTGTCTGGTGCCAGCTGTGTGCTGGTGGGTACTCTGGCACAGCCACTGAGGCCATACAAGTCTGACTGCTGCAGTACAGCTGCCCCACCATTTGGGTAAGGACCTGGCCCTGGGGCTCCATGTCAGCAGAGAGCGGCAGGGTAGGATCAACTGAAACTCCCAAAAAGGTTTTTCTGGGTGTTCTGACATAATGCTGTTTTCCACATGTTGTGATGCGCAACCTGGTTTGATGAAGTCATGCTTGGATCGCCCTGAAATGAGCAGTCTGGATGAGATTTGTCTGGGTGGCTTGGCAGTGGCATATCCACCCACGGCATCCAGGAGCGTGCTGCCGAGCAGCCGGCGATTTGCTTCGGGGCCAGGCTGCTGCCAGTCTTCACCACCTCTCCCCGTCCCAAAAGAGGCAGTGGGATGGACATGGAGGCCCTGTGTGGGTCGAAAGTGGGATCGATTGCCAAAGCAAACTGTGGTCTGTCAGCTGGCTGGAGCAGGAATAGAAGGTACAGGGTGTCCTCACCAGGCTGTGCTGGTGGCTTTTTGTGGGACGGAGCTGACCTTACTCATCTTGCACTTAACACACTCTTACAGCGTGATCACAGCAGTACTGGAGCATCTCGTTCTTCCACCACTTCCCATCTGAGCTCTCAAGAGCCAGGTCCCTTTCTGGTATCAACACTGGGAGCAGGAGTCAGAAACCCTGCCACAACCCACATCCCACGAATTTCTGAGATCAGTATACATGAGGGTGTGTATCTGACCTACTTAAAGCAAGAAAACAACCAGTAGTGGGTTTTTCTTCTCAAAAACCTCAAAACTATTACAGTGCTGCTTTATTTTCTTCGAAGCCTCTGGAAGCCCAGAAGGCTAATGCTTATCGTCAAGACGAGGCGGACGTCCCACATCTCCAAACGGAGCAGATTCAGACAGGCAAGAATCTGGATTGTGACCAACACTGGTATCTGGTTTTGCAAAACTGAAGTCTACCCTTTCCTGGCCCCGGATTTGTCCATCTCTATTTATAGCCTTCACTTGGAGCCTTGCTGAAAAATACATTAATATATTGACAGTGGCACTTTGTGAACTCGGAGCTAATGGCTCCAGAAATAGTCACCTTGGAGATATCATAGTCTAACTCCTGCATATATTAAGTCTGACATTTGCTCTGCACAGCTATAAATGACTGTTTAAAACACAATGAAGTGGAGACTGAAACACAATAGTTGTGATTTACCATGTTGGAGAAATTGGTGATGGATGTAAAATTTCAGGAGAGTGTGCAATAGCATGTCTTGGGCTGAGCACCCTTTTTGTTACGGCTGTGGTCGGTCTCTGGAGAACCGAGCTGTTAGCACTTAAGAGCTGAGCTCTTCTGGTTTAGAAACCTCATTTAATCTCTGGCTTGTTGGATGGTCTTCTGCTCTCTGAACCTCTCTGCATCCTTTCATTTGAAACAGGTCTGCAGACTTGTTCCCCCTTCCACCGAGAGCTCAGAGGCGAAGGCGGGTGGGTAATTGCAGTCACTAGGGGATGCCTGATTTGGTACCATCCACAGCTTCTGCTGAGCCCCAGCTGTGCCCTGGCCCATGGGGCATTTGGGAGCCTCGGTGGTGCCTTGCCCTTGGCCATCGCCACCCAGCCCTGGCATCCCAGGGGAAAAGCTGCCCTGCTCTTGGCAGGGGTGAGACCATGGCTCGCAAAATCATTCCCCCGTTTCCGCTGTCTTTTGAAAAGATCGTTTCCTTCTTACTGTCAATAATGTAAATCCCATAACGTGGTTAGTGCGCAGAAGACCAGTAAATAATTTAGGAAGCAGCCTCCATTTAGAGTGCATCAAATACTAATATCGAGAAGGCAAAATCCCCCCCATCAGTTACAGTAATTGGTGGAAGGCACCAGTCCGGAGGGTAATGAGCTCCATTTTTAAAGCACGAGGAAGTTAGATTCTTATAAATGTCAAACACAGTTATTGTCCTCTTTCCTTGAAACAGAGCTGAGCTGGCTGGAGCCCATTGTCTCTCAATCAGCTTTGCTATGGATTAGACACATCCCGTCTCACACCAGGAATGTGCTTATTAGAAAAAAAAAAAAATCACTACACAAAGCATACAAGCTTTAACACTCAACTGATGTACTAATGGGTACATTTACAATAAAACCCAATATCACGTTGCAAACCTGAAGCTGACCTAAGATAATATGATACAGCAATCTTAAAGGACACAGATCAGTGTTTTCTTTGTGCTATGGTTCTGACTACCTGGGGTTTTAGTTTTCAAATAAAGGAGATAAAGTCAGGGAAGGTGACTTTTCCTCTTGGCTACTTATGAAAAAAAGCAAGCAGTAAGTCGTCTTCACAGTGAATATGCTTGTAATCAGGTCATTTCCAAATACTTTGTGTATTTTACCGGTGTCTCCTGGGTAACTGCGGCTTCACAGAGGACTTTCTCCATCCATCTTTTTTCAGTTCTCTCCTGGAAAAAAAAGCAAGAGGTGGTTATTTGTTCATACATCAAAGCTCGGTCTGTGAATTAGTCTTTCATTCATTATAAAATCTCGCCAGTATGTGTTAAGGCTCCACGCTTCAGAAAAACCGGTATCAGTTGTTTGGGGAGGATAAAATGTGAGGAGGATAGAGGCCTTTGTAAAATCAAACCCCTTTGCATCCCTATTTAACTTCTTACTGGAGGGTAAGTCACTTGTCCCTCCTTAGCTAGAGATTGTATCTACTTTTGTCTCCAGGGTAGGACCTCTGTTGGGAAGTGGCACAATCCTTCCTGCTGTGGGAAGGCTTAAGGATGGAGCCAAGCCCTCGATTCCCTTTTGCAGTGATGAGATGCAGACTCAAGCTACTTGTGTGGACTTTCCCACACACTAACCCAAGATCTGAATGATGCAGGACGCTGTTTCCAAGGTGGTCGTGTGTCCGGCACGTACTGTGGACATGCTGCATTGGAGACCCTACTCGCAACTGCTGCAGGATGGCTTTAAATATGATGTGGTGGAGGTAGCGTGAGGCTGTGCTATCCTCCGTGCAGGAAACTCAGCTATATGCAAAGGCAAACAGGCTGTTCATTTTTGGTTTTGTTTTTTTTCTGGAATCCAGTATTTACAAGTTCTTTTTTTCTGGTTGCCTTTTTAATAATGTCAAGTCTTGCCTCCGATCTTCTCCATCTCAGTTGGTGCTCCTTTTTTCATTTCTGCTTCTATGGAATGAAGTTCCTGGTGTTGCCCATAGAAAACAAACAGTAACTTGAGACTTCTATTTTACCCAAGCAACGGATATTGAAAGATATTCCTAGCATATGTCAGCAGTAGTGCAAACAGCATTTTCCAATTAAAACTCTAGGAATTTCTACTGGTTGCCTAAAACCCCTGCAAAACATTGAACCGTAGACTCGAATCCATTAACACCCATCATGGAAAAAAGATCCAGCTATTTATATATGGCAGTCATTTTATTTATTTAAATTTGGTTTCATAAGCTAAAATGAGCTCAACTGTTGGAGAAAAACATCTTGAGCATCTTATAAATATCTTCAAAGCCTGAAACAATCACGAAGCAAATTAAACTAGTTTTCTGTGATTTTGGACAACTTTTAGTTCTGATAACTTTCCTTAATGTCTGTGCTACAGCTGCATCAACCTCTATAAATTAAATAAAGAAACAATTCAAGGCATCTCTGATGTAGCTTGGTGGTTAAATGGTAATCAGCAGCTGGTGATTAAAACATACATATGACTCAAATCACAAATCCAAAGTCAGCATTTACCTTCCACTATTCTCATTAGCTAGGCACTTTACTTAATTGATACTCTAGCACAAGTGTTATTAATTGGCCATTCTGGCCTGGGGATGTGAAGTGCTGCTGCCTCCCTGCCTGGGAAGCCCTGTGGCCCTTTGCCAGCTGCCTTGGGGTTGCTTCTCGGGATGGTGCAAGCATTTTGCATGGTTGCAATGCCCAGACAGGTTTCCCACCTGCCGGAGGGAGCCCACACATGCCTCTGTGACTGGTGTTTGCTCTGGTCACAGCTAAGTCTTCTTGCAGGCAGATCCACATTTAGGCTTTTGTACCCCCTTGACCGTCCTCGTGTAGCCAAGACGTGTGCTGCTTTTTTTTTCCCTTCAGTAACATGCCTCCTTCTGACCATTAAGTTTATTTAAACTGTTAACAGAGACAAATTTTCTAGCCAGCCTGCCTAGCTTGCTTGCAATATTCGTTGCATGGTTCCTGGCCCCATTAGGTCTGCAGGCATCCTGGCAACACCTGGAGGCACCTTTGTGTCTTCTCCGTAGACTGCCGAGGTTTTACATGTTACCTCTCTCAGATGGTCTTCTGTGGTCCAGAGAAGCTTCTGCTTTTGGCTCTCTCCACCAAAAATAGGTGAGGTGGTCCCCTGCCACCATAAGGTCTGCAGCTCTGCTGATGCTCCAGACCGGTGGGGACACGGCACTGGCAAGGAGGACAGGGCGGTGACTCGGTGGGGGTGGCTGCTGGCTTGGCTGCTTCTGCAAGGGCTTTTTCTTCTTAGCATTTTGGTTTTGGAAGCTGCTGGAAGGGGTGGATTAACTGGAGATAGGTGACCACACAACAGGCTGGCTAATCCTGGCTTGTTTTTTTTTTTTTTTTTTTCCTGTGGTTTGGCCTTCTGCCTTAAATAACACCATCTGATGGGTATATTTACTTATTCCAACTGCCTGTGGCTGGTGTACCCATGTGTCAGGGTGTCCTTACGCCCAGTTGTGAATTTGCTTGTCTGCTTCGCACCAGCACAAAGCAGTGAGCCTACGTGCTCTTGGATTGGGAACCTTCTTATAGAATGCCTCAATGGTATTCCTCCGTATTAAGCAATTGTTTTCTTTTTCAGGGCCTGACGGCTCTTAAGCACGTAGTACCTGCACAGTAAAAAACACTGGGCTTCATGGGCAAAAGATCATTCTGCTATCAGCACACGGATGTTACAAAGTGTTGCTGTGTTTGTTCAACAGTTGGTTTTCCAATATTAACTCAGCTGTTTCCAATTTATTTTTAAAATATCACATGGGTCCAGTTCTCCTTATAAACCTAATTTTAAAGTTCATTGGAGATAGAGCAACAAGGCTAAGAAAGATGAATCCTTACTACTAAGCCTGGAGATTCTTCAGTGCCAGGTTTTAGCCTGAAGTCATTTTAGCATCAAGTGAAAGACAGAGGAGCAAAAAGAAGCGTTAATAATTGTAAAGGGCGTGCTACAGGCTTGCTCCAGTCTGTGTGCCAAAGCCTTGGAGGGGATTTTATGTGGGGAGGATGAGTGCCTGGGTGTCGGGAAGCTGCTGGGTACAGTACAATGTTGCAGGGTAACCCATTAGCGTTCTCCAGATGGCCCAAAGACCTGTCTTTGTCCTGTTCAACTCGAAACTGAGGCACCTACTTCAGCAGTGTGCTTTTGTCCCAGGTTTTTTATGTAAAGTGACTGGAGAGTGAGGACGTGCTGGAGAGGAGGAGGCATCTGCGGAGAGCAGATCAATCTTGGAAAAGGTGATGCCCCCAGTCTATCAGTTACAGACCTACATCTGCTGTCCTAGCAGCCTGTGGAGACCTCCTCTTGCCTTTTAGGCCTGGCCTTCGGGGTTAATGGGATGACTCACAAATGCCACACAGCCGAGTCATGGAAATTGGGCTTAGGTCTGCCCTCTCCCTTATTCCCTGAAGCCAGCACTGCTCTTAGGAAGGTATGACAGCCAGAGCACGTGCTGCTGTTGCCCTGAGGTTGCTGCAGCGAGGGTGAAGGACTAACCACCACCATGTCTCCTTTCTCTGCCATGGCAGGTATAGTTTGGCAGAGCCCAAGAGTAGGGCTGCTAGAGTTGCTTCTATTGGTATATGATGCCAGAAGGCAAGTACTGTGTCACCTACTTTAGCTTCCTGCATTTCTTCTAGAAATGCTTAATTTATCATATTAAATAGGTAAGTGATCTATGGGACATGCAAAAATCAGAGGTGTCTAACAGGTCTTCACTGCGTCTTCCACGTTCGTTAATGCTTGCTGGGCGTCTCTGGTTAACCACGGTGAGGAGGTTTCACTGAATGCAGAGATGCTATTGTGTGGGATCAGATTCACAGGTTTCTATGGACGAGCTCATATTTATATTGATATTCTATAAGCTGTAGTCGTAAGGTTTTGGTGAGCGGTTGCTTGCGAGTAGGTGCTTCTTTTGGCTTACAAACCACCAAGATGATGGTGCTTCAGCATAGCGAGCGTTAGCCCCTGTTATGGATGACTGTTGGCTGGTAGAACCATGTCTTCTGTTTGAGCAGCGTGGAAGGAGAGAATGTCACTCCTGCTGGTCCTTTTTCCTGCTCAAATCCAGTGGGTGAGGTTGGCAAGAGGGGTTATTTCTGTGCAGAGGGACCAGAATGACACGCGTTTTGCACCCCTCACCTGTCTCCCCTGGATACTGCGTGGTTCCTGTGCAAAGGCAAGAGACACCCCATCCACTCCAGACCTCAAAGGCCTCTGGAGAGGGTTGGGGAACTGCAATGGGCAGGGACACAAAGGACACTGCCCATCCATCTTGCTAAAGGTGTGCATGTTAAAGGACTTCAATTCTTATTAACGACACATATTTCTGGTAGGTTTTTTTAATTTTTCAATGACACAATATATTTTACACAACTCTCTTTTAAACAGGTTGAAGCCATGAAGAAAGTACTAGAAAGTCTCAACCTCAATATAGTAGAGATGGCAGATGAAAACGCAACCTTGGATGGTGGAGACGTCTTATTTACAGGTACAGTGGTAGTGAATTTGCTGTTTATATATTCTGACCGCCTCGAAGACCACATGTTATCTGTCTTCTGCGTAATAAAATGTCATTCGTGTGGTTTGTTAAATCGGTTGTTTACTAAACGTCACGAAGGTAGCTGAGAGATGAATTTTCAATGCAACCCTCAATGTCCTGCCTAATGCCTGAATAAATGAAGTAGCAGTACACACAGTACAAAGAGCAGCACTGTGCATACAGATTTTATTTTAGCTTGTAAAGTGCCAATAAGAAAAATGCTTTCAGTAGTCAACTGCCTGCAGTTGTTTCATATTTCTTATTACAAGCAGCTACGTACACCAGACTCATTTTCAGGACTCGTAAAAGCTCGATACAGACAATTGTCACCAGTTCAATGAATCAAATGCAAAAAATGCGTTTTTAGTTTACAGAGAAAATGGTGGAGTTGCCTGCCAGATGTCATGTGCTAGACAACTTATATGCATGGTTGACTTCAAAGATGAAGATACCGACTGTGTTTTTTGTGTCATTAAACCCATTAGGCATTTTCTCACATCGGCTTGCTTCCCCGCCTGTCTTGAATGAGCCTGTTTATTTTGATCAGCGTCACCGTGGACTGGCTGCTTGCCTTAGTTCACCAAGGGGAAGGAAGGGTCTCAGAGGAGGCAGGCCGGGAAGGGAGGCCTTTCTAATGCAGTGCAGACCCAGCACCGATTTCCTCTGGAGCTGGAGGATGCTGGTGGCTGCAGAGCTGCCTTCCAGACCAGAGGAAATCTCAGAGGGAGGGGGAAATGGTCAATCAGTGCTGTGCTAATCCAGCCCAGCTGTTCTCTTTCCTGACTCAATGACCATTGCAGAGCTTTAGAAGAGGAAGCTATTTATGCTTCTGGTGAAATGTGTCTTCTGGAAAAAGATAATTGCTTTAAATTATCAGCTCACAATTGCAGGTTGCATTCTTCTAAGCTGAATTTTCATATTTACTATTCAACTTGAGAAAAGAAAGATAGAAAATGATACCCATGAAAGATTGCTTCAGATTGTCTCTAAAGCTGGCCTGTTTTTAAAATGCGTATGTTCTGATGAAGGAGCTGATGTGGTGATTTTTTTTTTTGGATGGTTTAAAAAAAAAAAAACAACCCAGCTGTAATTGTTCTGCCCTTCATTTTTTCATTCCAGGCAGAGAATTTTTTGTGGGTCTTTCCAGGAGGACAAATCAACGTGGTGCAGAAATTCTGGCTGACACATTTAAGGTTTGTAGATTCATTCATGCCACGGGAAATGTAAGCTATCATCTAGTGAACCAATTTAAAAACTATACTGGTCAAGATGTTTGTCACACTCGAGTGCTTTATTTAGGACTTATGTTTTTTAAAAAAAAAAAGGACAATTTACTGAAAAGGTTTGAGCAGCCTGCAAAAGCAACAGATGCTGAAGTTGGATCTGAAACGTGAGATCGCTGCAAAGTAACTTGGATAGTGGGAGGCTGTTACTATTTGAGAGTGTATCAACACTCATGTTCTTAATATCCTCATGTATCAGCAACGTGTTCTTATTGCTGGTCCCTGGAGCGGTTTTATGTACATACTCTTTAATTACTTATTTTAATGTATTTCTTTACAGTTGCAACAGTAGTAATATTGGAAACATGTTCTGGATTTTACTCCAGTGCACCAGAAAGACAAGCTGGTCCAGAGGGGTATATCATACTTAAACAGTTGACACTGTGCCCTGGGATATGTTGCTATTGTTAATTTGCTGAGAGTAAAACTAATTATAGAATGTCTCAATATAGTTATGGAACTAGGACAATTTAAAAATATTTATAGCAACCATTCTTTGCTCCCATACAGGATTATGCTGTGTCCACAGTCCCTGTTCATGATTCTTTGCATCTGAAGAGCTTTTGCAGCATGGCTGGACCAAACTTGATTGCTATTGGATCAAGTGAAGCTGCACAGAAAGCCCTCAAGGTAAAGCACATGAGAAAATTTTCTAAACAGACTTGGGATTTTTTTTTTTTAATCTCTGCTCAAGGATGCTGGAAGTTTAAAATAGATGTAGATCTATGAAAGAGGGTCTCAGGGTCTCCTGTATGTGCAAACCATAAAGAATGTTTATATCAGGCAAGAGAACAGTGCTGTTAATTTAGCTTTAGCTATCTTCAGGAAATAAATGGATTATACAAGTTAAAATGGATTACGCAGGTTATTACTTACAGCTTTGTTGACTAAAAAGGTGATAACTTGGTGATAAGAGGGAGGAAGGAGATATCAGAGCAGTAGGAGATGTTTACTTCAGATGTTGCCATGAGGAAACGTGGCTTTTAAACTTGCCAGCGGGGAAGGTTTGGCATGGAGGAGGAAGCAGGATGGTCTGATCCCTGTTGTGAAGATGCCCTGCGCACACATTTTGCAGTGTAGACTTTCTGGATGAGGTTGGTAAGTAACTCCAGTCACAAGGACTGGAGTCCAGGACTCCACATCCCTCCTCCCTCCATCACCTGGCTGCAAAGTCAGGTTCCTTCCTGCTCAGGCTTTGTCCTCTCTGGTCCCATGAGGGTATTAACAGCGTGACTTCAGCAGAAAGGAGGGAGCGTAGCCTCACCCCAGCCTTGCCGATAATTTCAGTCGCTGAGCATTTTCCTTTAAAGTGGGAGGTGCGGGTTTGAACCCTCAGGCTAAGAGGCCTCATGAATCTAGGTCTTTCTTTGTTGGCAGACTTGAGAACCAGTAACCCGTTGTGTAGCAGGTCAATGCTGTACTACCACCATCATCCCCAATCGGAAATGTTTATTGCTCCTGTGGTTTGCTCTGGGCTCGGTGGCTTTCCTGCCTGCTGGGTGTGTTCAGAGCAAATCTACCAAATTAAGCTTTTTCAGAGATGTGGACACAGAGACACCTGAGGCTATGAATCTCATTACGCACATAGGCAACGAGATGGCTCACCCGAAAGATCAGCATCTCTGCTCCTGCACGGTAGCACAGCTGCAGGCACAGATGCTTTGCAGCAGAAACTTTGGCTCGTGCACCGAAATAGCAAAGTGCAACTGAGATTTTACCTGGAGTGAAGCTGAAGTTTGAGGGAGTTTGTCCCTTTTGGTAAATTAGGACCTTACATGGTTTGGTTTGAGACACAGGTAAGCCAGAACATGTCTGAAAGCATTAACAGCTAAGTGTTTTGCACATTTTTATCAGGACTTGCCTTCAAAAGTTAAACCAAAACCTACTTTCAGTGATGGCAGCCAGTCCCAAATTTTCAGCTTATGTTTATACTGATTCTTTTGCCAATAAATAAGAACCTGAGTGCAGGCTTTGCTCTTTGGCTTTGCAGAAGCTTTGCAGAAGCATCCTTGATGCAACATGATCACTAATGCATGGAGGAAGCCAGCTGTGTGTCCCTTATAGTAAATGAGGAGGGGTGGAGATAGCTCTGCTTAAGCTAGTGAGAAAGCTCTCTGAAATTTGCTCAATTTAAATGCACCTTACGCAACCCAACTTGTATGTCTTGCCGTGATACTGAAGCATGAGATACTTTAAAGAACAGCACAGCTATTGGTGCCCAAGGCTACTGATCTGAATCTGTGCCAGGCAGGACATTTACAACAGAAATAGTGTGTAGCTCTGAAACCAATGTCCCTGCCCCCAAAAGAGCTTAGGAACCCACCCTGCGTGTCTTGCTCACCTCCTCAGCTTCAGGAAGCTTGTGATATTTGTTACTTTAAAACATCCTTAAGTATTTGCAAGATGGAGGCCTGAGAGACTTCTTGTCCTTACTGCCGTGCTGTGATATTTCACTGCACATTTGCTTTTCAGATCTTGTACATCTTCCTCGTGGGCATAAACCTAGGACTTTTCGTTTCCCAGCAACATCATTTTTACTATCAGAGCTCGGCAGAGATTTGGTGGGGTTTTTTTTTCTTTTTTTATCTTGTGGGAGTTCAAGACTTAAAGTGTCTCAGTCCCCAGCTAAGATAAAACCAACATTTCAAATATCAGAATCTCCCCTGCTGGACATGGGTTGAATTATGGAGGCCAGGAAAGTTCAGTCCTGGCTGGCTTAAACTTGGCGGCCTGGCAGCAATTAAGGGAATAGGATAGCAGCCTGACTGCTCCACATGAGTTTAGGGGAGCTCTTAAACAAGAGGACAGTCCCGTGGCTTCCCACATAGTTTGGAGTGGCTTTAAGTTTGCTTGTTCATTTGAACGAGCTGTTGAAGTTACCCTCTTATGAGAAATCACTACGTGAAGCTCCGGGAGCACATTCCCAGCTTATCACCCGTGTCTTCTCCCATCAGAAGCTTATGACAAATGGTTTTGGTTGTGAAGGTCTGATGTTCCTGATGCTCTGAGATTGATTTAGGCTGGGATGGAAAGTGCCCTGCATCTTTCCCTGTGAAATACGCACTATCCCAAATATTCAGGCTCAAACTCAAAATGCATCGTGAGCAGCAGGCTGATGAAGTTTGCAGATACCCAGACAGCCCTACACTTGTATAGAGTGTTTATAAACATGAGCAAAATTCAAGTACAATACTGGTTGCTCAGAGCTGCAATTTGAATTTGAGCCAGGACTAATCTGAGAACTCATCAGTTTGATTAAAGCCTTTTGCACAGCTTGGATAATCATGTTGCAGTGCATCAATTTAGCTATTGGAGCCAGAAATATTTTTTGGATAAGCTGATTAAATGTTGCTGGTAACTAGCTGTCAAGTAACTACCAGCATTAGTCAAGGTACAGTAAAAAGCAGGTACATTTTTAAAAGAAAATGGTAACTAACAAGATTATCTAGCAGTCTTTGCTTTTTGGTGGGTATCTTTTGAAAAATAAATCAACTATGTCAATTTTCTCTGTGTTTCTCTGCATTGGAGGTTTAGCAGCACGTTTCCATGTGTGTGACGGGCGCATTTGCTCTCACCCTGCCAGCTGAGGTTGGGGGCTGTGGCCCGGAGCAGCGGTTTTGTACCGTAGCATGTGCCCTCCTCGTGCACCCAGCGAGCTGACAGGTTACATCAGGCAACCACGTCGTGGTCAGAGCAACACACGAAGTTACCCAGAGTGTGTATTGGATTCCAGCTGCACTCTTATCCTGGGGAGCCTCTAGCTATTCCTCCAAGAGTCTAAATCTCTTCAGAGAAATTATTGGAAAACAAATAGGTAAAGCATCTGTCTCAGAAATGATGGGGTTGGCAGTGCTGCTTATCACTGGCTTCCTCTAAACGTTTTAATTCTTGCTTTTTTGACCCCAGTGATTTCTTTGTATTTGTTCATTTGTCTCTGAAGGCAAAAAAAAAAAAAATAAATCAGTTGGTAATCGGCTTCTTGCAGTCTTGTGGAAATGCAATTGCAGTAGGATCTCCATGAGGCACTGATACTGAGAATTAAAAGCTGCTCCCTGGATTTCACCAGATGACCGGAGCAGTGCTGGGAGCGCTTCCACTGAGTCATTTGCCTGGCACAGCCCAGCGTGCCGCTCCTTTATTGTGACAGTCTGTTATTTTAAACCTCTCCTTTGTTGTTGCCATTTTTCATGTCTGCTCTGGAAATGCAATCATACGAGCCAGATGATTAAGCTGTCTTTAACCATGGCGGGTAGTCGAGTTGTTTTCGTTCTGCAGCGTGTCTTGTTAGGCAACAAGTGAACTGCTGTGGCATGCCGTGCTAACCTTTTATATTTAAAATAGGATTTATCTTCCTACTAACAGCCTTGTTTGAAAGAGATGTTTTTCTTGATTGTTTGTACTGGTGCAACTCGTGTATCCTTACGGCACTTTAAAAATAGAGAAAGAAATTGCATCTGGTGCTCACATATGGCAGAGAGCAATTGGTCAGGAGCTCGGTGCCGTGTGTGCCACGTGAAGCGCTGCGAGTGAGCTGGGCAAGGAGTGCACAGAGTTTAGGATTATAGAGCACATGCTAGAAGCAGATAATAAATCAGAAGTGACATTTTAACTATGAAATCCTCTTCAGGCTCTGGCAAGTATAGAGTATTTGGGTTGCAGCTGAGAAGTGGCACTCGAGGAAACTGGGTGAGAGAGACAAACTAACTGCAGAAACTACCGGGGCCGGTAGTGGCTATCATATCCGAAACTTTAACTTCCCTCTGCTGTTTTCAGCATGCATTTAATTCCTTCTTGTAGCTAAACCCGCTCGTAATTCCATACGCATAACTCCATAGTTGGACACTGGCCATGGCTGTTGAGCCAGTAAGGCCTGGCATTATTTTTGTTCCCTCAGTGAAGCCAGGATTTCCACCAAACATGTCACCTTGTGAGCTCTGATCCTGCACTGTCAGAGTCACAGACCTTTACCGTGAGTGTGAATGAGGACGAATGCAGGCTGTGGTGGTGCTGGCCCCGGCGTAGGAAGATGATGGGGCAGCGCTGCGGATGAAGGCTCTGCACTGCTTTTTCCACAACGAGGGACGCAGCCCTGGGGTCTTGCTTGGGAGAGCAGATGAGAAGGAACCGTCCTGGGATGTAATCCAGTTCAGGTTCCAGCAGCAAAGGCAAATGCTAGGCAAGATGAGAACAGGAACCGTGACACAGCATCTGTTACACACTCCTTTCTGCACTCTCTCGCTCGATACTAAATCCTGAAAAGCCACATTTCTGTCTGGTGGCTGTTTGTGTTGGTTGGTACAGAGCACAAAGTCCCCCCACTTTCTGTGATGAGGGAGGACTTGGACAGTGGCAGGTGATGGTGGACACAGTCCTTGGTTTAAGCAGCTTTGTCTATGGTCAAACTATCTTCTGTCACCCTTTGGATAACTCTGTAGCAATCCCAAAGGATCTGAGGGTTACATGTGCTGTTCCCAGCTTTGGCAAGCTCAACCATTCCCTTGCAAGCAGTACGTGTTGTATTTGTAGCAGGTGCCTGCTAATGAAGTTGTTCTCTCCTGCATTGGGAGAGTTGTCCTGTGGGCAGGCTCTGATGTCAGACACTCTCCAAAGGTCTAACCTCAGGGTGTCCC